TGTGGTGGCAGCGCCGCCGCCGCAGCGGACGCCAGGGGGCGCGAGGACACGGGGGTCATCAGGCTGGCGCTCTCTGGCGTGGGCGTGCTCGCGGACGACGCGGCGGGGGGCTCGACGATCTCGATGGGTACACGTCGCCGCTTGGGTGCCGATTTTGGAGAGACACCGGGCGCAGGGGCGTCGCGGCCGGGGAGGGGGCGGACGTCTGCGGGCTGTTTCTGGAGAACGGGGTTCAGTGGCGCGGCGGGGAGGCGGGAGAGGGCCACGCACCGGTCGCGCTGGGCGCTGGGCCGTGAGCGCACCTGTGACGTTTTGCAGTTCGGTTTTCACCGCGGCGTTCGCGGGCTCGAGGGCGAGTGCGTTTTGCAGATCTGCAGGGTCAGGAGAGCGGCGTGGGTATAGACGTCGGACGGGCGAGGGCGGAACAAGGGTGCGCACCGGACTGTGCGTCGCTGAGCCGCTGCAGCGCGGCGCGGGCCTGTGCACGCCGGAACATGGCTTTGACGTTGCGTGTGTCGAGGCGGAGAACGGTGCTGCAGTCGCGTTCTGCGTCCTCGTTCCTGGCGGTAGTCCGACGTGAGCCTCCTGCAGCGTCCGACACGCGCGACGGGGCACGCACTTGCCTAGTTTGAGATACGCGGCGGCGCGATTGAGCGGGTACGTTGCGTTTGCGGGGTCGGCGATGATGGCGGCGGAGTAGTGGCCGATGGCGGTGGGGAAGTCGCTCGCCTTGAAGGCGGCATTGCCCTTCAAGTGCGAGCACATGAATGAGCGGTAGAACAGACGATACCGAGCGGCGAGCACACCTTGTCTTTCTCTGCTTGGGCCTTTGCGACCGACATGGACTGGGGCTGCGATGGCGTCGGTTCAGAGTCAAAGTCTCGACGCGTCTCGGGCGAGTCGAATCGTCGTCGACTCTAGTCACGTGAAAGATCACATCCCCGATCGTTCGCGCGGCTTGAATTGACTATGTTATCGCCTTGGTCGCCGCCAACTGCGCAAATGGATTGAATCTCGCATTATTTGAATTGTAAGAACACTTTCCTTGGAAATTGGCCGAGAATCCTGTGCATTAGCGTCGCGGAATCTGCCTCATCCCGTGTGAAGTGTCCGCATGTCAGTGCATGCAACGTTTATCGATATATTCAGGCCTCCTGCCAGTGGCCTGCTGTGACACTCTGAACCATCTCAACACATCCTGCCTGTACGGGTAGAATGTGCTTAGACATCGGTCGGTGGTGAGTAGCTTGATCTTGCATCCAGTCTATCTGTTTTGAGCGACGTGCTACTACCTGAGCCTGATACCGTCTTCTAATCGCAGGTACCGGGCAGAAGTTGTCGAGGCGTGTACATGCGCGTCGACTATCCGGAAGCCGAAGAGCATCTACTTGAAATGGCTGCGAGCCTGAGGTTTCCCTCAACCCATGGCAACAGACGTTTCTCATAGCGAGGTATGAATATGTGGCAACAATATGAAAACTCATATGATATCAGGTGAGCATTTCAATATTAAACATGAAGGAAACTCCCCTGACAACCTTGGAAGAAAACGGAAAAACCTTGAGTTATCCTTCAATATCGGGTAAGACGGGTAGTAAATGGTGCCGGACTTCGCCCCGCGCCGCATGCCTCAAACGAATAGACCCAGGAATGCCTTCGAAGGCGTTCAGCAAACTGGCCGCGACCGTCCCCCGACGCCAGACAAGCCTCCTGGTCCAAACTCCACACGGAACATGCCCCGTTGCAACACCACCTCTACTGCATCCAGAAGACCAAGTCCTGCAGGTGCCCCAATTACCTCCGTCAATCGGAGACCGTACGACACTATCTCCTAGAATTCCCAGCCTTCTGAACGCAGCGAGCTGCACTCCGCCGAAGCATCGGATGCGGGGCGACCTCCATCCGAGTTTTGCTATCCTACCCGGTGGCAACCAAGCCGCTCATGCGTTACGTACAAGCCACCGGCCGATTTCAGATCATTTTCGACAACCTCACATGACCCACAGCTGCTCCTCGGGCTACCTGACCGTACCGGCTGCTCCTCTCCCCGCCAGCGGGCTTTTACACTTAACTGCATGATAGCCTCCCCTCTCCCTACACCACTTTTCTTGATTTGAACGGCCTGCATGCGCGTGGAGGACTCAGGAATGCGGGGCGTTTCAATGGACAGTGGGGGACCACTGGCTGGCTTCCCCCCC